TATTGATTTCAGAGAGGATGGGAGAGGGAGAGAGAGATAGAAACATCAATGATGAGAGAGAATCATTGATCAGCTGCCTCCTGCATGACCCCACACTGGGGATTGAGCCCACAACCCGGACATGTGCCCAGACTAGGAATTAAATTGTGACCTCCTGGTTCACAGGTCAACGCTCAACCACTGAGCCACACCTTATGAATAGGTACTGTTATCAACTTCACCTTACCGATGAGGCTGAAACTTAAAGAAGTTAAATAACCTGCCCAAGGCCATACAACTTGCTAGTAAGGGAGCTGGGATTTGTTCCTAAACAATCGGACTTCAGAGCCCAGGCTCAAAGCCATTGCACTAATTAGAACACCAGCATCACAGATGAGGAATCTGAGGCTCAAAGAATATTCCCGTCCGTCCTCCACCTTTCCCAGCTTCTTAGATCATCTTCGTGGCCCTTATTCTCAGCAGATAACCTGGTTTCCCATCTTCTACCCTACTTAGCCCTGAGATGTTGGCATTTTTAAAAATATATATTTTATTGATTTTTTACAGAGAGGAGGGGAGAGAAAGAGAGAGTTAGAAACATTGACGAGAGAGAAACATCCATCAGCTGCCTCCTGCACACTCCCCACTGGGGATGTGCCCGCAACCAAGGCACATGCCCTTGATCAGAATCGAACCCGGGACCCTTCAGTCCGCAGGCCGACGCTCTATCCACTGAGCCAAACCAGTTAGGGCTAGATGTTGGCATTTTTTAAGGCTATATCCATGGCCTTCTCTGATAACTCTAAACCACGACTCTTGACTTTTTTGGTCATGGACCCCTTTTGATGATTTGATAAAATTTTTAACTTTCTCTCCGGAAAAATGTACCTAGAGACACAAGTGTAGTCAGTTTCAGGGGCTACAGAGCTGAAAACCCACACCTGGGTCCCAAGCTAAGAACACATGCTCTCACACATTGAAATAAGTTCTAGATACATTAAAGAACTAAAGTTAAAATGTAAAACGAAACAATAAAAAATAACACTGAAATACAGAGGAATTTGCTTCACATATTGTTGGGCTACGGAAGGTCTTCTAAGAACCCAGAAGCCACCAAAAAAAAAAAAAAAAAAGCCCTGGCCAGTATGGTTCAGTGGCTAGAGTGTTAGCCTGAGGATTGAAGGGTCCTGGGTTCGATTCCAGTCAAGGGCCTGTACCTCGGTTGGAGGCTCAAGCTCGATCCCCAGCCCTGGTCAGGATGCGTGTGGGACGCAACCGGTGGATGTGTATCTCTCACATCCATGTTTCTCTCTCTGTCTCTCCCCCTCCTTTCCATTCTCTCTAAAAAAATCAATGGAAAAATATTCTTGGGCGGGGAGTAACAAAAACAAACAAAAGGCAGACAGTTTGGACTTTATTTACATGTTTAAATTCTCTAAAAGGTTTTCCCAGCAGTAAAATGATACAGCTTTATGAAAATTCCATGTTCAATAAGGAGAGCACAATTTGCAACACAGAAACTCTCTGTGCAACATGGACTGTTCTCTTACCTCCGGTGACAATGACATTGGCTTTTATACAGTAGCAAAAAGTGTTCGCTCCTCTTGGCATGGAAAACTCCCTGACAGGCCTGGGAAACACAAACCTGATGTCAAACTTGGGTTTTCCTGAATGAAGCTAATTCTAATTCAAGTAGATTATGTTCAATAGGGCTCATTTCTCAGTTGGTTATAAATCCATTTACTGACAGAAAATACTGTAAGTAATTATTAAATCCGCACTGACACATTTATTTACTCCATAGTGTGGTGATATTAGCACAACACTCTGTATTGTTTCTACTGAAGAAAAAATTTCCAGCCCAGCGGGCATGGCTCAGTGGCTGAGCATCAACCTATGAACCAGGAGGTCATGGTTTGATTCCCAGTCAGGGCACATGCCTGGGTTGCAGGTTCAATCCCCAGTGTGGGGCGTGCCCATTGTTCCAGATGTTAAGTTGGGCACCTCATGTGAGTTAACTTAGGCAGTACATACACATATCCATATACTAGAGGCCCAGTGCACAAAATTCGTGCACTGCGGGGGGGGCGTCCCTCAGCTCAGCCTGCACCCTCTCCAATCTGGGACCCCTCAGGGGATGTCTGACTGCTGGTTTAGGCCTGATCCCACAACTGGCAGTCAGACATCCCTCTCACAATCCGGGACTGCTGTCTCCCAACCCCTCGCCTGCCTGCCTGATCGATGCCTAACTGCTCCTCTGCAGGCCAGATCGTCACAATCCGGGACTGCTGTCTCCCAACTCACCCCCAACTGCCCTCCCCTCCCTGCCCCGTCACCCCTAACTGCCCTCCCCTGCCAGCCTGGTCCCCCCTAACTGCCCTCCCCTGTTGGCCATCTTGTGACCACATGGGGGCAGCCATCCTGTGCGAAGGTGTGACGGTCAATTGTGTATTATCTCTTTATTATATATTACTTCAGAGAGAAAGGGAGAGGGAGAGAGAGATAGAAACATCAATGATGGGAGAGAATCACTGACCACCTGCCTCCTGCACGCCCCACACTGGGGATTGAGATTGAACCTGGGCATATGCCCTGACCAGGAATCCAACCGTGATCTCCTGGTTCATAGGTCGGTGCTCAATCACTGAGCCACTGCAGCCAGGAAACTTTTATTAGATGGTAAGGTAGGTATTCCCACTTAAAGATGGAAAGATTGAAGAAGAGCTAATGGCACTAGGATCGAAGGCAGCTCCATCTGGCTTCACAGCAACCCTACCGAAGGGCATTGCATGCTTTCCAATGTAATAATCTGCCTCTGAATTGGGTAATTGACAAAAAGTAACTGCCTGGGCCCTAGCAGGTTTGGCTCAGTGGATAGAGCGTCGGCCTGCAGACTGAAAGGTCCTGGGTTCGATTCCAATCAAGGGCACATGCCCGGGTTGCGGGCTTGATCCCCAGTGGGGAGCGTGCAGGATCAATGATTCTCTCTCATCATTAATGTTTCTATCTCTCTCCCTCTCCCTCTCCCTTCCTCTCTGAACTCATTATATATATAAAAATTTAAGTAAAAAATAAATAACCGCCTGGTAGTTATTTGCACATTTCTGGGAAATGATCAAGCAAGCTATGGGTGAACGTTTCAGCATATGTCTTGCAACAGGCCAACATGCGTTCCGTGACATAATTAATAGTAAGTGCTCACTTTGTTGATACAAAACTTCATGAAATTATCACATAAAATTGTAACCAGAATAAGAAATCATTTTTGAAATGAAAATTTTTTTGAGAGGAGTTTTCAGCTTTCTTGGGAGCCGTGCTAGCTCCCATTTAACAGCTGGCCAGTTATGGACTGGGATAAACGTGGTTTCATCTGGCTCAGCTCAAGACTCATTACAGGAAACTACAGGAGCAGGAATATGTTGCACCTGGGGATGGAGTGGCCCCCGCTCTCCTCCTATTGGGGTGACGGACACTCCAGTGGCAGTGAGCTTCCGGAAAGCAGGATGACACGGTAGCACTTGAGGACGCTCTTTTGCTTCCAGGTTTAGAAGGAGAGGGGCCCAGGGAAGCAACTGAAAAGCCCAGCCAGTTGACTGACGCCCTTGGGCTGAATGTATCATCAGCCAAATCCCAGGAGACACGGTAAATGCCAGGAAGCACAACACTGGGCTCCCAGACGAACTCCTGACCATTGCAAAATGGGTGCTTTTCAGGGCAAAAGAGAAAGTGCTGGCTAGCTGGGGAAAACAACAACTCACCTTCTAGATCAGTGGTTCTCAACCTTCTGGCCCTTCAGTTCCTCATGTTGTGACCCAACCATAAAATTATTTTCGTTGCTACTTCATCACTGTAATGTTGCTACTGTTATGAATCATAATGTAAATATCTTATATACAGGATGGTCTTAGGCGACCCCTGTGAAAGGGTCGTTCGACCCCCAAAGGAGTCGCGACCCACAGGTTGAGAACCGCTGTAGATAATCTCAATGTTTACAACCACCAAGCACCAAATCTACGGGAAACTATGGACAGTGGGCATTTAAATTCTCCTCGATACTACTACATAAGTTAAAAATACATAACATTAGAATGTATGTGTGCATGAATTTCCAAGGATTGCACAGAAAGTGAGAGTTAACATTGGCTACCTACAGAACTTTAAAGAACACCAGCATTTAAGAGCAAATATTTCTTAAAAAAGGAATCACAAGGAAAATATAGTTATGGATATACCTGTCTTGATTTATTCCGATCGATTATAGCAACAAACAACAAATGAGCCAAACTATTGTCAGGAGGACCCATCGTTGGCACAAATAATTTCTTTTTTTTTTTTTAAATATATTTTATTGAGTTTTTACAGAGAGGAAAGGAGAGAGATAGAGAGTTAGAAACATCAATGAGAGAGAAACATCGACCAGCTGCCCCATGCACACTCCCCACTGGGGATGTGCCCGCAACCAAGGCACACGCCCTTGACCGGAATCGAACCTGGGACCTCCCAGTCCGCAGGCCGACGCTCCATCCACTGAGCCAAACCGGTTTCGGCGGCACAAATAATTTCAATTTCCTCCTGAAAACCTCAACTTGTCAAACCGATGGAATAATTAACGTTGATTTTTCTAACAACCAATTTGATAGCTCCGAGGCTGCCCTGGGCTTATCAATTACAAAAAGCCCGAGGTGCACGCTCCCCCTGTGGAGCACACCCAAGCCTTTCCCTTCCCCCCGTTTTCCCTCCAGGACATTACCTTTGCCTTCCTCCCTCCTACCCTCCAGGGCCCTCTTCTGCCTCTGTTGCTTGTTTCCTGAGCCCACGCAGCCCAACTGGCTCACTTCTTTCTAACTCTGTAACTCTCTAAATAAACCTCCTCTTATAATTTGAAAAAAAAAAAAAAACCCTCAAAGTCACAATATTCATGTACATAAACGACTGAACTTACCCATTATCCTCAAGTTTCTTCAAGGATTCCAAAACTAACGAATGAACACTGTCTAAGGAGCAGGATCCAAAGCAATTTAGGGTTGAAATAAATTTAATTTTCATAACCCAGTCATTATGTAGCTTCCTTTTAACACTGGGAATTAAAGGGAGAAAAAAAGGGAGGGATTATGTTAGACACACAAACACATCATGTTGAGTGTCTATTTGTCATTTCAACTTGACTTTCATCAAAGTGCAACTCTGAATTGGAGTAAAGCCTGCATATATAATACCGCCCTATGCATTATGCCACTTTTAATTGTTTAATTAAAATTTCATAACCTAAATCATTTAAAATGGAAAAATAAAAGATTATCATCACATTTTGAGCTATAAATTCAGAATTTAAAAAATAATATACAGGTTCTATCCACTGAGCCAAGCTAGCTAGGGCTTACTTAACTACATAAATACTTGAACAATGCCTATATGAAAACAATTGGACCAGCTGTGTGATATACTGACCTTTTAAAGTCCTTGGAGTCTAAGACCTGATTTTGTACTTTTTTTTTGGTCTTGGTTTGCTTTAACCCAAAGTCCTCTGTATTCACGGTGAATTTGTTCACAAACCCGCCATCATCCCCCAGCAGGATGTCATCGCGGCAGAGCTGGTCGGACATGGGCACCACACACACACACAGGAGGCAGTGGTCCATCGGCTTTATGACGAAGTAGTTTTCCTGGGAACAGAAGAGCACTTTCCATAAGTTATTATATTGCTCCACATATCTAAATATGAAATTTAAATATTGTCCCTATTGTTTTAAAACATTTTTAAAATTGATTTCAGAGAAGAAGGGAGAGGGTGAGAGAGAGAAACATCAATGATGAGAAGAGTCATTGATTGCTGCCTCCTGTATGCCCCCTACTGGGTATCAAGCCCACAGCCCAGGCATGTGCCCTGACCAGGAATTGAACCGTGACCTCCTGGTTCATAGATCGATGCTCAAACACTGAGCCATGCCAGCTGGGCTGTCTGTATTGTTTGATAAAAGTTTTACTTCTGGCCCTGGCCAGTTTGGCTCAGTGGATAGAACTTCAGCCTGTGGACTCGAGGATCCCAGATTCAATTCCTGGTCAGGGCACATGCCTGGGTTGCAGGCTTGATTTCCAATCGGGGTGTGTGCAGAAGGCAGCCAATCAATAATGTTCTCATCACTGATGTTTCTAACTCTCTCTCCCTCTCCCTTCTTCTCTGAAATCAATAAAAATATATTTTAAAAAAAGTTTTACTTCTGATATTTCTTATTTTAGATCTTTTCACAGTGTTAAAGGAGCTTGAATGAAACACCAAGTTAACTAAGTAGAAGTGAATGAATACTCACTGTGAGCCCTACAGTGCATTTGGGGCTGTTTTGTGGGGAAAAGGTGAGGTGCTTGCCCGGGGCTCAGTAGTGGTGAGATTTTCTGATGTAATTCTGTGAATGTCCCTTTCTTGGGTTTGTAAGGAATATTAACAGGAATCATAAAAAGGTCAGGTGTTAAAAGACCACTGACATAAAATTGGATGGCAAACAGGAAAGTTAAGAATCCAAGTCCCAGTTATTTCACCAGGAGTAATTAGGGGGAAAATAGCCCAATATCCACGCTTATCCAGAAGTAGTCACAAGCATTTGCCAATGCCACACTGGGTTCCCTAGGCTATAAAGCCATTGCTCTCCTGGAACTCAGTCTCTACCTAAAGCAGAAAACATACATGTTTTTAAAATTTTATTTCCTTTAGAACAGCGGTTCTCAACCTGTGGGTCGCGACTACTTTGGAGGTTGAACGACCCTTTCACAGGGGTCGCCTAAGACCATCGGAAAACACATATATAATTACATATTGTTTTTGTGATTAATCACTATGCTTTAATTATGTTCAGTTTATAACAATGAAAATACACCCTGCATATCAGATATTTACATGACAATTCATAACAGTGGCAAAATTAGTTATGAAGTAGCAATGAAAATAATTTTACGGTTGGGGGTCACCACAACATGAGGAACTGTATTAAAGGGTCGCAGCATTAGGAAGGTTGAGAACCACTGCTTTAGAATGAGTGAGACTTGGACATTTTAAAAATATATACTTTTATTGATCTCAGAGAGGAAGGGAGATAGAGACAAACATCAAAGATGAGAGGCTGGAAACCGGTTTGGCTCAGTGGGTAGAGCGTCGGCCTGCGGACTGAAAGGTCCCAGGTTCGATTTTGGTCAAGGGCATGTACCTTGGTTGCGGGCATTTCCCCAGTGGGGGATGTGTAGGAGGCAGCTGATCGATGTTTCTCTCTCATTGATGTTTCTGGCTCTCTATCTCTCTCCTTTCCTCTCTGTAAAAAATCAAAGAAAAAATGAGAGAGAATCAGTGATAGGCTGCATCCTGCCCTGATCGGGAATCCAACTATCTCCTGGTTCATAGGTCGACAAAACCACTGAACCACATTGGCTGGGCTTCGCCAGTAGATTTTTTGCCAGAACGAGGCGTTTGATTTGAGCAATTTTCTTACCAAATGAAATGGGACTGGAGAGAAAAGCCGTGAACTTGGTAATGTGAGTGTAGGCAAAAAGCTAATACTTGGGTTCGGAGAAGGGCATCAAAGGAAGAAAGGAATCGGCCTCTATCACAAGCAAAAACAAGTCCGGTGGGTGCGGCTCAGTGGCTGAGCATAGGCCCATGAACCGGGAGGTCACGACTCCTGGTCAGGGCCCATGCCAGGGTTGCGTTTTGGGCTCCATTCCCAGTGAGGGGGGGTGCAGGAGGCAGCCAATCAATGCTTCTCTCTCATCATTGGTGTTGCTAACTCTTTCTCCTCCCTTCCTCCCTCTAAAAGCTATAAAAAATATATTTAAAAACAAACACAACTAATAACAAAACCCAATACCCCCACATTAAATACACACTAAGTGGAAAATATTAATAGTACTGTTAATGCTGAAACTGATTATTTAGTTAAATCCCCTCATTTTACATATAAGGAAACTGATCTTCCATAGACAAAGGTGGTGCCCATATCCTTCCAGCACAAAAAAGACAATCTCATTTCTTTGAGTATATCTCTCCATTTGGTACCTGGCTGCTCCCTTGAGCTTTATAATCCCACACAATGATGGTCCTTTCTGTTGTGGCAACAATTCGCTTCAGCTGAGAGAGGTAGTCACATCCTGT